ATCAGAAACACCTCATAGGTGCAACGCGATTAACCATGTCGGAAACAAGTGCGCGACTAACGGAAGGTTAAGAAGTAATAGGCTTAAATACAAATATATATGAAAAAACAAGATAATTACTGCTTGTCCACTACAACAAAATATTTTACCATTCATATTTGAAAAAATATTTTATTTAAGTATAAATACACATGTGGTTTCCTAAGCCACACATACTAAATGTAGCCATGCTTATATTAATTTATATTATTATTAATAATATTTATATATATTTCTAGAAGAGTACTGTGATTTTTCTTCTTCTAAATCTATAACAGTAAGTCTGTTACAATGGAATTACAATTAAAAAGTATGGTATCTGACATTATAGACAGCCGATTCATTAGTTTTAACAATCTTACTATACATAAAAACTAATATTAAAGGTATATATACCCATTTGCTTGAAATACAAATTCAAACAAAAAAAAATTACCAAAGAAATATTTACCACTTTGTTAAAAATTACTTGTCTATAATAATGAGATTCCTCATACTAACATTAGTAACCTTTCTTTTTCCCTTTCGATCAATAACAAATTCTAAATTAAATTGAGTAGTGCGAATTTGGTGTAACCAAGAGTCACTAATATTTTCATACATCAATGGATAATAAGTATATACTAATTATAATCATATTTAGAACCATTAATTGGTTTAGGTTTCATCACAGTATGGAAGACAGAGATAGCCAGATGTGTTAAAAAAATGTAACTTGAAATTAATTCAAATACATGAAATAATTAATTCAATACATGAAAATCTATCAAAAAAAAATTTATTACAAGACCAAGTGTTACAGAATTATAGTGATATGATTTAATATATAAAAAATACACATTTACTCAAAAACAAATCTACTAGTAAAAGATGTATACATTAATTGAAGGCAAATTTATTTGATAAACAGAGAAGTAACTACCTGGCTCTCTCTGCACTGTTAGAACAGTGTTGAATGATATGTTTAATTCTAGTACAGTAACAGTAATCCATAGACAATAAAATTATTGACATGGTTATGGCACAAAGAGGCATATATCTGGTACAAAACATCTGCACATGTAATAAAGCTATTTGTTTTTCATTAAATAGCTGTATAAATCTAAAACTATGATTTGTGACATAGATTCAAATAATACACACAAAACAAATTGGTAACGTTCACAGTAATAGAAATGACTCATATAAAATTGTGGTTATGCAAATAACAGTTATACATATTATGAGTACTAAATGCAATGGCTAACATTTTCTTAATATCTTGCACTTAAAAATATATTGTATGCTAGAGAGTTTGAAAAATGCAGTGAAATGTATCAACATAAACTTCCAAGAGAGCAAATTTTTTTAAGAACGACAGATTTTGCAAATATTAAGGCCTTTTGTTTTTCAAAACAGGAGGCATAAGTAATAAGATTTAGTACTAATGATTTTTCATCAAAATATTTTTAAAGAACTTAGCAAAAAAAAAAAAAAAATATGANAAAAAAAAAAAAAAAAAAAAAAAAAAAAAAAAAAAAAAAAAAAAAAATATGAAGAATATTTATTTTATATGGCCTTTTTTATTATAAAGCAACCAAAATGCTTAATATATAATTATATATATACAATTAAGTCTGACAATTATTTTGATAATAATAAAAAAAAAGAATATTAACTTGCTTAATAATTATTAAAAAATAATTCACATATTTCTCAATCATCAACACAATTCCTGAAATTAGTGCTTTAAATTATTAATTTTAAAAAATTAATTCCATACACAATCTTTCCAACATACAAGTGTTAAATGCAAGATAATGACTAGTTGAACTATGCGATTATTAAGCAAAAATTACAAATATTTTATCAAGAAACATTTCAGACATACTTATGTGAAATGTTTTTGTATGAGATGCAGTATGTTGCTGACACTAAACTTGCTCAAGAAAATTAAGAAAAACACATAACTCGTGAAGTAAATAAAGAAAATACACACTGTTGGCAAAAGAATAAGAAAATAAAGTTACATATTATAAAAAGAATGAATATTCTATATGAAATTTTTAGCAATAATAATATAAAAATAGCAATCTATTAAATTTATTGTAAATAATAGTTCATGTAAGAATTGCAATAAAATCAATATATATGTTGATTTAAACTATTAAACTACTTACATATGCCTAATAAGTCATGCGATATATTGCTGACGATAATTAGTGCTTTATAGAATTAAGAAAAACTAATTTACCTTTTTCCCAATTTTTGTCTATTTATTGACAACTACTAAATTTTTCCAAAAATGCATTTATTTTGTACAAAATCTGATAGCACGGCATTTCTGGAAATGTACAGGCAGAAAATCATGATAACGAGAAAGATACAACACACTTTGAATTGACTCACACGTGGTGAGAATGAGCTTTCACAAACTTTAAAGTTGTCCTTTTTAAAGCATTTATCATAGATGAGAACTCAATAACGCCTCACATTTTTATTCGATTTGAAAATTCAACAGTGTACACAATACTTTTATGTTACTTACTTCACTAAAACTGTTTAAAAAAAATACATGCAATAAAAAAAACATTAAAATATATGCGTATAAACCTTTTTTTTAAATAAATAGGATAATATTTGAAAAAGTTACTCTGTTAGGTAAAATGTTTTCAGATAAGAGTTTTGTGACTGTACAAAAGTTAAGTTATTTATTTTATTTAAATTGAGATATTTATTTTTCAGAGTATAACTAAAAATAAATTAAATGTTTTTATGAAGATTTAAGAAACTAAATCTTTTTCAAACAATTACTACTCTAAGTCATACAGCTTAAACACATAATTAAAATATTGAATTACATTTCAAGCAAGTTAATAATCACATTGTATTCAGTAAAATTAACACAAACTGAAAGTTGTTCCCTTCGCCAGAAAGTTTTGATTTGCAGAAGAAATTCTACTAGAAATTTGTAAATAAATAATAACAATAAAAAAAAAAAAACACCAGAAAAAAAAATTAATTGTCTGGTGTGCCAAATATATTAGATCTTTTTCAAACAAAAAATACTAAGATTGTCAGTTAAATTTGTTATTATATTAAAAAAATATTCACTATGTACAAAGAGAACATATACTCAATTCATCAGTATTGTTAGTACCACTGAATTCAACATTATATCAGTATAACTAATATATAATAGTAAAGATTCATAAGATATTAAGTCAAAAAATATGGCTCCTCTAATTTTACATATAAGTAATGAAATAAGAAGCATAATTTTACACAACCATCTTTTCTTTCAGTAAATAGTTATTAAGTGAAAAATGAAATTTAGATTGAGACTTTAATAATAAGTATCAAAAACACTTTTTATAATAATTTTAAATAGTAAACAAAGTCCAAAAAATTAAAAAAAAAAAAAATTTTACTCTTCAAATGATTTTTTAAAAAAAATTAACGAGGACGAAAAGTTGCTCTGCCAAAGAAAGAAGGTTGAAGAAATAAAACTTTTCTTAGCTAAAATTTGTGACAGTACAAATGATCAACATAATTGAGTATATTGTATTGAGTAATTGAGTTATTATGATATAATAAATCAACATAAAATTGAGAATTTGTTTTCTATCTCTAACAAAAGATATCAATTTAATAATTTAAAATAAATATCAATAAAAAAAAATAACTAAAATATGCCACTAGCTTCAAAGTATTACTTTTAAATACTGATGGAAAAATAATTCATATTTGATTTATAATATTCACAAAGATATAATTAAGAAACTACTTTCTAATTATTAATTTTTTACAAAACATGGAGTTGTGTTTAAAATAATAAATATGGGTCTTTTATTTATAGAATATAACTTTGCTCTGCCAAAGAAAGAAGGTTGAAGAAATAAAACTTTTCTTAGCTAAAATTTGTGACAGTGACAAATCAACATAAAATTGAGAATTTTTTTTCTATATCTCACAAAAGATATCAATTTAATAATTTAAAATAAATATCAATAAAAAAAATAACTAAAATATGCCACTAGCTTCAAAATATTACTTTTCTAATGGAAAAATAATTCATATTTGATTTATAATATTCACAAAGATATAATTAAGAAACTACTTTCTAATTATTAATTTTTTACAAAACATGGAGTTGTGTTTAAAATAATAAATATGGGTCTTTTATTTATAGAATATAACTTTTAGTGTACTCTTCAGTTACACAATATTTTGCTTTACGCTCAAAAACTAAAAGAATGTTTCCTGAAATAATTTTACAGTTAAGTGATAACTAGTTAGTTATAAGGTTTGGCAACGCTGGATTTATAACACTGGGAATTAAACTAAAATTCCAACATAAGATAAACAGCAAAAAATCATACCATCAAAGTTCTAAACTAATAAATAAACATAACTACAATCATACATTACACTGCTGGTAGAAAAAAGTAACTGCATAAATAGCAGATAAGTCGAATACTTAATTTATTTATCATCCACTTGTGGGGTAAAATATAATGTAAGAACAAAGCAGATGATAAAAAAGGATTTGACATAATTGTGTAGGCATTCTTTTAAGAATTATATCAGAAGAAATAACTCTTAATTTAAACTAATTGATAAATCTAAAAAAATAAGACTGAATGAGATTCAAATAATTGTAATAGATTCCAGAGAGGTATAAAATTATCAAGAATAACTGATAATCCATAAAAAATAAATATTTTTTCTTTTTTTTAAAGAGATTTGAAATTCAAGTGGTTAAAATAAAAGAACAAGTTTTTGATGATGCTAAGTCAAATAGCCATTATTAATTATAAAATAACTAAATAAGTTTGACCTTATTACATTATTCAATCTACTTATACAAAATATGGAAATTACAAAAATACTGGATAGATCAGTTATAAGTAGAACTTAGTATAAATAATAGCTAGAAAAATCTTCACAAAATTAAAAACACAAAATATTTTAAATAATCACACAAACATTCATAATTGCAAAACAACATTCATTTAAAAAAAATTTAAATTCTTATACTTTGAAATAACAGTTTTAAGTAAATAAAATTACCAAAAGAGAATGAGAATATTCTTAAAGTCAATCAATACTAATTCACAAAAACACAAAATTTCATAGACATAAAGTTTTACTGAAAAAAGATAAAATAAAGAAAGGGTCTTGAAAAATTAATTTAAGTAATTACGAAAGTTGAAAATTGAAGTAATTTATTTGGGAAATTGTTGAACGCATAGATACAATTAATTTACTTACTAAGTATTTAAATTTATTCATTTAGAAATTTTTTTTAATATAAACAATACTCTAGAAATTTATTCATTACTATACAGTTAATTCAAAAAATTAACTTAAAAAAAATATGCATGTAACAAAATAATTAGCACTATAAATTTTTTTAAATAAATAGACCTTGGAACTTATAGTTTAAACTGTTGTAAATGTATAACTGAGAAATAAAATTTTAATAATGAGCTATGAAAATAAACTTATAATTATCTGAGTGCTTAAATGAGCTATTATTATGAGTAAGTAATTAAAATATAATTAAAAGTGATAAGTATTCTAATAAAATTAAAATTATTAATTTCAAAAGAATTATAAAAATTATTTAAAACAAAGGTTGAATATACAGGAAGCACATATAATGATCATATATGAAGGCTAAAAACAAAAAGAGAAATTTTTTTCAAAAAACACAATAAGTCATAAGTAGTCAACTAAAAAGCGTGATTAATAAGACAAATTACAAGCACCTCAATAAGAATTGCACATAAACGGGATGTAAATATATAAAATCTAAACAAAAAATATTTGGTGTTAAAATTACAGAAAAAAAGTTAAAAATAAAAATCCTAATATATTGAATACTTAGGGTGTTTAAAAACAAAAAGGTTTTAGTATATATGGTAACATGCATGTTTAACCCCTAAATAATAAGTAATCAGATGAGACAGATTACTTAATGACATTATCAACACAGAAACCAGAAGTAATAAAAAGGTTTTGTAGAGTAAATTATTATGTATATTACCCACAACGGGAGTAAAAATGTTTGATCAATAATTTTTGTTGAAAAACAAATTAGCACAAATAAAATATATAGATTTCAAACAATGCTTTAAATTAATGAGTTCAAAGAAAATTAAAAACAGATAATCCATCTAATTTTTAAAATTTTTTTCTAAAAGTAAATTTTTGCTTGTTAATGACTAGCACAATTTTCAATAAACAAATCCCATTAAGGATGAAAGATGTTTTTTATCTCCCTTCAAATAATAATGCTAAATGTAAAAATACACTAAAACCATTTGTGAGATCATATATGCTAAAACCTCATACAGGGTCAAAAAAAATTATCAAGACTCTTTTAAGCCTGATCCAAAACCAGTATCACTTTTCTTTTTGCCTAAATTTTTAAAATTTTGTTCAAATTTAGGGTCTGTATTTTTCATAACTTGAAATCTCTGGTGCAACAGATCAGTAGCATATTCGTAGAGCTGAACATCCAAATAATTCAATTTGCGAATCAAACGAATGGCATCTTCAGTAACAGCTATACGAGCTTGACTCCCGTGAGTTTCATTAAGCTGATGAAAAGATTGAAGAAAATGCAAGTGAAAAGTACTTTCAAATAAATATTGTGAAATTTTTTGATACTCACAAAGACCAAAGAAAGCCATTTTCCTCAAATTTTCTTTGGCACTAGCAAGCATAAGGATATCCCTGTCCTGTTTAGTCATTGCAGACATATTATAGCAACCAACTAATGTTAAATCCGCTAACATCCGGGTTTGTCTGTTGATAGCCAAATTAGAAGAGCAGTCCATAAACTCTTTCAGTGATACATCCCTCCAATCTTCTCCGGAAAAACAAAGAGGAAGTTCTTTTAAGGTAGGAGGTCGTCCTTGGCATAAATGGCGAGATGTTTTCCAGGTAGCCCCTCGCTGTACGTGTCTGAATTCACTTAGAAATCTAGCAACTGGTTCCCGTAGTAATGTTATATAAAAATACCTGGTAAAATATAAGTTTTGTTAATAAAGGAAATATAGGTTAATATAAATCATTCCAAATTTATCATAAATTGATATGTATCATATATGAGTCGCTCAGAAGCCAATGCGGTTAAGTCCAAAACAAAAAAATTGAGAAAATTAATATTTTTTGATACATTAGTTTTTAAAATTCTTGGTTTATTAATTTAATTAGAAAAGTGTATAAAGTCTTTTTCCGAGGTGTAAACTCTGCAAAAAAACAAGATATGTACAGGATGTGTAAATAAAAACGTAAGTATTTATTGAAATAATGACAGCATCTTAAAAATTTTAGGACTTATACCTTTTGGCAGCTGAAAAAAATAAGAAATTTATTTCAAAGTTTATGTAAAAAAATATTGATAAAAGGTGGACTTATTCACAATGGCTTCTGAAATTATTATACAATATATTCAGAAGCTATTAAAAAAAGGGCTGTCTAACCTAGAAAAAAGTAACCAACGAGTAAATCCTTTAATAACTAAGAAGATTATTATTTATTTCATCAAAATTTCCAAAAATCAGAAAATATCAAAAAATGGACTTAACCGCATTGGCTTCTGAGCGGCTCATATGTGTCATAAATTGATGCATATTGGATATTGATATGTAATAAATATATATAACTCTACAGCAAACTGGATGGCTTTGCTTCAGATTACATGATTTTTTTCCTTAATTTTTTTAATATGATGATGAATTACAAAATGTGGAAAAGGAAATAATTAGAGTGTTATCTAAAAAGGAAATAATTAGTCTGTTATCTTTCTACAAAATTTAATTTAAATTTTTTTGAAGTTAACACTTCTATTACTTTAAATTACTGACACACATATTTGTTATTTTTAAATATCTTGCAGAAAGATATTAGTAGTAGAGAGGTATATCGCAGAAAGCCCAATAAAATTCTGCCACAGGGCCCAGCATAACATAAAACTAGACTACAAATACTAACTGGTAAATCACAAATTATACTTTAGTTTTATGGATATTATATTTTATCCAGTAAACCTATTTGCCAGCCAAAAAATTCATGCTGCTGAGGAAAAGATATGGTTCAGTAAAAAGCAGAAAACTTTCAGTATAAATTTCAATAAAATCATCTTGCTGACTATCAGCATTTTGCTGCATTACCAATTATACGATTTTTTTTTCTCCATAATAAAGGGAGAAAAAAATTTAACACATTAAATAACTTGCCTGATAAAATATTTAGAACTTATTGCCCCTAATTGATAATAAATTTCCATATTGGGGATATTTTTGTATCTTGATCTGTCGTCAGTGGCATAGGGAGTTATCGATTATCTCCTTATGATATATACATATATATATTATGATATATACATATATATATTATACATATACATATATATAGATTAATTCGAAATGTTTAGATTACAAAAAATTAATAATGAAAACTTTTTTATCACAACATCCTAATTATCATACAATAGTACATTAATCAAGTAATGCTTCATTTCGGAGGGGGTTTTGTCCCCCAAACCCTCCCCAAAATTACGCCACTGTCTGTTGTGACATCTACAATCCCAAAGGTGCCAAATAGATCTTAAATTTGTAAATTAAAAAAAAAAACAAAAAACATGTAGATATTTGCCCAAGTTTGTAGATGTTGCTACAAGTTTTACCTCTCGAGTTGGTCCCCTTCTACAATGTCTTTTTCTTCCTTTTTTTTTTTTAGCTTCAGGCGGGCCGCTGCCCAGAAGTTGGCAAGACTTGGAAATTATTCTGCCACAGATCATGTTATGGAAATATCCCCTCCATATTAGTATCCGCACCCAAAAAAGATCCACCCAGTTTTGGTGACAATTGGGTATTTTCCTCATCAGAAGAGAAACAAAGAAAAATATCATAGGCAGGGCCGGATTAACCTATAGGCACGTGCCTAGGGCCTACGAAAAACTTGGGAGAAAAAAATTTGTTGACAAAAATAATTTAGCTTTAAAAACAACAACTGCAATATCGGCAGTATGTCGGTATTGCAGATAAAGTTCGATAAACAAATTTGTAAATTAAAATTCATATTAATAAAAATGTAAAAAAAAATATGCAAGAAAATTTTAGCATATATTTTGAAAAGAGGGGAGGAGTGGGGGAAGGAGCGGAGGGCCCAAAAACGGCTATGCCTAGGGCCTATGAAAGGTATAATCCGGCTCTGATCATAGGTGAATAATTACTGGAAGAGTATAACTCGAAACCCCATCCAAGCAAACTTCTGCACATTTCTTAAAAAAAACTTTTAGCAAGTAAAGAACTTTGGAATTGGAGTGATGCAAAAGAATTGGAGTGATGCAAAAATATTATCTTCTAATTGTTTTAAAAATGGTTTATAAAATAAAAAATTATTTTAGACACCAATCTTGGCGAAAAATAACGCCAAAATTACGAGGGGCACACAATATTTGAACAATTAAAGATTAAAATAGCAGAAAAAGTTTTACAAAACCTCCTCTTAGCTGATCCTTTATCACTTTTGTCCATAGCACTTTCCACACAATTTGTAAGTTCAGTCCAATCAGCATGTAGACCACATTTCCAGCCCGTTGAATATCTACTAAAAAGCCAGTTGTCATCAGAATCAGGTCTGTAACAGCGGCACTTTTTACGCCCTTTCCGGCACTGGCATGGTTGCTCAAGGTCCAGATCTCGTACTAAATGCCGACCAAACGATGTCCCACCGGTCTTCTGAATATGTAAAAATACTATGACATCAGAGCCTTTTATGTTAAAATGAAAATCTGATTTTACTAATTCGTCAAATGATAGTTTGTCGTGTTTTTCAGGAATTTTAATCCGTTCCCTGATCAAGGGATGAGACAAAAAAGTCAAGGGCCTGCCGAGATTATCAGCTACAACATGCTTCAAACTAAGTTGAGTCCAGCTGGGATATTTAAATTGTGAATAATTCCAGCCGGAAAAATCACAGGCTTTATCGGGACACAACCAACTTATTAAAATAAAACATAGAACAGTTACAAGAACACAAAACCCTAAGAAGAAACGATATTTCACACTTTTCTTCATTAAAATCATTACATTTATAAATGCATAAAAATATTGAGTTCATGAAAAAGGCATTGGTTAGCAATGATGGTCAATGTTACGCCTGGATACAGCATGATAACAGGAATGAATGATTGTATTGTTTTCATAATTGTTTTTAACAGCGTTATTTTTGTTCTCGATTCCTTCCTTTCTGTCACGTTCTTAGTTGCCACCGACATTTTTATAAAATATTGATTTGCTAGTAGTCTGAGAAGCCTCTGTAGCCGAGAGGATTGATCTGTTCGCGCTGAGTCTTTGAGAGTTTTGCTGGATCATTCTCACTTTATTCTGGTTGGTCGATATGAATTTCGCAAAAGCCTGCATTTCAGAGCTACTTCTTCGCATCGATCGATGCAGTAAAAAAATGCAGAATTGTAAAACAGTTGGATATTCTGCACCAGAGTTCTGCTCGTTTTGGCGGACCTCCTTCATAGCGATACTTTCACGACACAACGACTGATATATAACTTCGTCTTTTTATTTTAATTTATTGTTAACGTTGAGCAAGAGCTATAGCAATTGCCAATTATTGACGATCCGGAAATAAATGTCCCGCAGTGGACTGATTGTAAAGTTTTGTCCTTGTCTTCTGGATTGGGCTCAAAATTGCAAGGCTACGGAGTTGAACAATAAGAGTCGTAAACCCAGAAATTGGGTCGGCTGCACAACAACGGTTATTAAATAAAATATAATAAAGTAAAGCCGTGATGGCTCAGGTGAACCAGGTTCGAATCCTAACAATGACTGGTAGATACGTATTCCGCATCCGGTTTGCACCGACTACAGGGCTGAATTAAAATACCCTCAGTGGTAGACGGAACATGGGTTAGAGTCCCTTTTGCCATCAGGCTAACAGTGAGAGGTTCTCGTGGTCTTCCTCTCCATGTAACGCAAATGCTGGTTAGTTCCATCAAAAAGTCCTCCACGAAGGCGAATTTCCCCTAATATTTGATCCAGGAGTTCCTTTACCTTCTAGACTGGGTTCAAAATTACAAATTTACGGAGTTGAACCTTAGTAGTCGTAAACTCAAAAAACTGGGTCTGCTGTTCAACGATACGGTTATAAAATAAAATATGATAGCGTATACGTTATCATATTTTATTTTCGTCGTATATATATTATATTTGAGTCGTCGTGACTCAGGGAATAAAGCGTTCGCCTTTCAATGAGATGAATCGGGTTTGAATCCCAGTGACGGCTGGTCGATACGAATTCCGCACCCGGATTACTCCGATCCCAGTGCTGACTTAAAAAATATCCTCAGTGACAGATGGATTATAAGTTAGATTCCCTTTGCCGTCAGGCTAACCGTGGGAGAATTCTGTATCGACCTGTCAACGTAACGCAAATAAGGGTTAGTTCTGTTAAAGAGTCTTCCACGAAGGCAAATTTCTCCGAAAACTTGATCCATGAGTTTTCTTGTCCTTTGGATTCAGTTCAAAGTTACAGGACTATGTAGTAAACATTGGTAGTAGTAAGCTTAAAAATCGGGTCGACTGTTCATGGGCTGTTATAAGAAAATATTAACGAAAAGTCATAGGGAAGGACAAAATATAATGAATAGATTTAAAAAAATGTAATTATTTTAGCTTTATTCGTTGTGTTGGTATATGTCTTTCAATTTTGTGCACGATCTCGTAGTTTTGTACAGTACTAACATATTGATTGTTTACTTTTTCTTTTTTCTTACGAAGAGCGAGTATTCAACCAGTATTTAAATATTTTATAAATATAAGGAATTTTATAAATAATTTGATTATAGAAACAGTTTGCAGTTGACTACAGACAAGGCAATAGAGAGCAAAATTGGGCGTTACTGAGATAAATTGTTGGCAATTTTTATTTTTCGTACATTTATGCTTTTCTTTTTATTGGGGGGGGGGGGTGAACTAACACCTTTTAGAAGAAAGAAGGCGGATCGATTTAGTAGTCCGGATCGATTTAGTAGTTCGACGTAAGGAATATAAACTGCGCAGTGGATGAAAAATACGAAAGATGTCACTACGTTTATGCTACTAAACTGCGCAATGATGGTTAATACGAAAGATGTCATTATGTTTGGATAAAGTCTAAAGGATCAAATTTCTTTTTTATGTTAACCCGTGCTGGAGCCTTTTCCTTTCTTGGAGGTATTGACTGAACACGAATCCGTATCAGTCATAAGTATGGACTCTTAAACTTACATCCTAACAAATTTGAGAATGAAAAAAATTTCTCACGTTGAGAACGAAAAACTGAAAAAAAAAAACAGTGTTTGTTTTAATTATATTTTTTAATTCAAGCAGGTTTAATAACAAGTTAGAGCTATATTTCACTTTTAAGGATACTACATTATACAGCGGGAGCAAGAAGCATTTTATCAACAAAAATCATCTATTTTTTTATTTTCTTAAGTTTTCATTTATTTTGCAAATTTATCTTACAATGAAGGTGATATGAGTTTTTGTAAAAATAAAGATAAGTTACACCTCCAAGCACTTAAATTTGTGTATAGAAAAGCGAAAATATGTAAATTAAACTAAATGTTCATAACTCAAAGTTTGACAGAATGTATATATTGTATATGTTAAGAACTCTATTTTAAACGTATTACTACCATACATACAAGACTATACAGAAATAACCAATGAGCGAGTGACGCGAGCCAGAATTGCGAAGCAATCCGAAAGGAACAGCGAAAGCCATTCCGGTGTTGGTGAGTGCTGCGAGCAGGGAAAGAGCAATACTGTAATAATAAACTAGAAAAAAAAAATATTTCGCAATTTTCTAAACAGTGGTTCCCAAAAGGTGCTTTGTGGAATACTAGTGTTCTATGAGAGTGTCACAAAGAATCCGGCAATTAAAATAAAAGAACTGTCATGGTTTTTATAAAACCTGTGATTATATCTATTTTCAATTAACAATCCATTACTTGTCTAATATTTCGGTTATTTTTATGAAATTTCTTAAGCAAAATATGCGCTGCAGGCAGGGAAAGGACCCTCTTGTAATAATAAACTGGAGAAAAAAAAAACTTATTTCACAATTTTCAAAAAGTGGTACCCAAAAGGTCTTCTGTGGAATTTTAGGGTTCTATGGGAGTGTGACAAAGGAACCGGCAATTAGATTTTTAAAAAAAGCTGTCATGGTTTTTAAAACCTGTGATTATATATATTTCCAATTAACAATCCATTACTTGTTTAATACTATTTCGGTCATTTTTATGAAATTTCTTAAGCAGAATATGTGCTGCAAGCAGGGAAAGGGACCTCTTGTAATAATAAACTAGAAAAATAAAACTTATTTCACAATTTTCTAAACAGTGGTTCCCAAAAGGTCTTCTGTGGAATTTTAGGGTTCTCACAAAGGATCCGGCAATTAAATTAAAAAAAAAACAGTCATGGTTTTTAAAATATGTGATTATATCTATTTCCAAATAACAATCCATTACCTGTTTAATATTTCGGTTATTTTTATGAAATATTTCTCTATAAAAAGATATTAAATAAATTATGAAAAGATCAGCATTTATAAAAAATTTTCCAGTTGAATTTTTCACTTTAAAGAAAAAAAAAAAAGAAAAAAAAATCAACTGTAAAAAAAAATGGTTCTTTGTAACCATTCTCACATTTAAGATAGTACTTTAAAGATAGTTCATTCAACGTTCAATATTCCTTTTCTAATAAAAAAAAGACATAATTTATCTTATTTCATTTATTTTCAGTTTATACATACCAAAATTAAGTTCAGAGTTAAATTTGATACCTGTGGATTCAACTCTCTTACACAAAATCCATTTTTAAGACTATTTTTGACAAAAAGGTGTAAAAATTAACACTTATATTTTTCGAAAATAATTAGTAGTGCTTCTTTGGTTAGGTTTGCAATTGCTGACGAACTTTACTAAGCTGTGGTTTCGCCAAAAAAGGGGTCTACCAATTAGAGTTGCTCAGAATATGTGTACAAAAAAAATCGTATTTTGCACAAAGCGCTATCTTTATTATAAACAACATGATTACCTGATTCACGCATTCTATTTTTTTAATATCTCTGTTGAATTCCAAGCGTAACAGAGGAGAAATCACACAAGTATTTTATTCTAAAAAATATATTAAATGTTTTTGAAAACAAAAATTCTATTACAATAGGCTACTTTAGGGTGCAATGCTTAATTAATTGGCATAAAATATTAAAAGAGCCTCATAATTAAATTGCACGTTAATTAAACGTAGTTGTATCAGAGGGAACAAATAAAATCCCACAATTTTGAAATGCACTGTTATTTATGCTAAATTCTGTGATTTGGACCATCCTAAACATTATCTGCAATTTTTCTTAAAATTGTCACAGTTCAAAGTAAAATAAATTATTATAAGACTTTTAAGATTCCAGCACCATTTTTTAAGCCCAAATAATGCATCGTAACAGAGAGGACATGGAATGTAACAGAGGGGAATGGAATGTTATACAAATTTGACAAAAAATTAAAGGAAAATATCACTGTTAAAAGTGATTCTTCGGTTGTTTAAAAATGGAAGCAGTGCTACAATTGAAACCCGTGCTACATCTTTGTAGTTATATTTGAAAGTTTTTATTTTGTCAAACCCTGTTTAAAAATAAAACAAGTGCATTGTTTGTTTCTTTCTCAATTTCAGTTATTTGGGCAACAAAATTACCCAATTTTTTTTCCTAGAACTTTTTACACTTGCAAAACTATCTATAGCAACATCAAAAGAATCCCAGTATTTTAAATGGTCACTGTCACTGGTGTACATTGAATATGTCGGATCCCAAAGTCCTCCAAGTTCCCGAAACAAATCAATACCTCTGGGGGTTACTGATCGATGAGTTCCCTTGTCCTTTGGATTGGATTCAAAATTACAAGGCTACAGAGTTGAACATTGGTAGCCGTAAACTCAAATTTGGGTCGGCTGTTCAACGACGGTTATAAAATGAAAAGTCAATTGAGCGATTGTCGCAAGTCGATATATATAGTAGTTCTATGTAATTATTCAGCAAGCAACTGTTATTTTAATAGAAAATTCACATTTTCGTGAATAGCACATACACATTTTATATGGTGTTTTACCCACGTATAAAATATGGATAGGTCGTAGCACAGCAAAACTTATATTTGCCATTTTTTATGTTCGGATGCATCTGCTTTGATACTTGATATGCTTCCACCAAGGTGCACATTTGG